AAGTTTTATTTCTATATATGTTATTATTAACTTATTGTTTTTTTCTTTCGTGTCTAGTAAAGAAACAAAATCACTATTTATTCATTTCTTTACCTAAGAAAACCACAAATTATCTTTTATAAAGTTTTAAGTTTTAATTGAAGAAATCTAGTCGACTGTTATACATATCATGGGTGATAAATATTCAGGATATCTAAATATCTCTTTTTAAAAAAATTTTAATTTTTTATTTTTGCCAACGTTTTGAGTTACTTGAAGTACTTGAAAGCCTTCAGTGCTCAACCCACGCCCTGAAGATGACCCACATGTTTGAGTTGAAACGTTGGCACAAATAATTTTTTTTTCTAAAAGACGGCGTCCTGAATATTTATCAACCATTTAAGATTTTAAGGTTTTAAAAAAAATTATTTATATTGAAAACATTATTTAGAATTGGAATGGCCCAAGTGCCGGCAAAAACATCGTCTTGTAATGTAATTAATTTTGATTTTTTTTTTGTTTAATAATTTTTTTCTGAAAAATATCGGTTTCGATTGTTACATTTTAGTATCGATATACCAATTAGATGTCTACATATCTAAGTATAAAATATCGATGTTTTTCCAACATCCCTTCATCTCATCCGTTGATTACATTTAAAAATGTAGCTTAAATAAATATTTTCCCGATCAATATGCTTACATCTTTTTACTAAATAAGCCTGAGGAAGCAATAGATCTAGGAGAGCGGAAGTGGGGCAATTAAAGGGGCATTGGCAGTGAGAAGCAGGCTGCCTACGGGGCCACAAAGCCGCGGGTCACTGGGTCAAGGTCGTCCTATCCGGCTAATTGTCCGCTACTCAGGGGTTTGTTATCCCCCCACTCTCCTCCCTCCCCCGGCTGGTTACTTTCTCAGGGCTTAAGTTGGATGTGTGCCTCAGGTGGGCCTAAAGACTCCTCGGAAGAAAATAGTGGCAATTACTCTACCATTTCTTTGTTTCGCCGCGCTTCGTCTTTTTCAGTTTTTCTCAGACGTATTGTCGAGGTACATTTTTATTCGAACTAAAATCATCTGCCGTAGCAGTAGCGGTTTTAGGATTTTTAATATTTACAGTTACTGAATGTCTGTCATCGATAATTCTTTGTTTTCAGAAAGAAAGATAAACTAAATAAACGGAACATTATTTAAAAAATATCTGCTGTGTCCACTCACACGACTTTTCTACCTCTTTTAGAAAAGTTTTTAGATCTTTACATATTTTCATGAAGAAACAAAAAAAATTGAACTATATTTATTTTCCTGAAAATTGATCAAAGAAAAGATTTGAGTACGATTTATTTGATAAAATAAAGCAATGTAAACCGGCTTAAGGTAGATCTGTATAAAAATTTCAAAACCCTCTAATATGATAATAATAAAAGGTTTAGCGAACCCCAAGGTTCGATGCCGACACCACCAATCGCTTATTCCACACCTCCCTCCATCGTTCGCCGTCCAAACCTAGTCCCTTCATATCGGCTTTAATGGAATAGTTCCACCTTTGTTTCGGTCTACACCTCGGATGTTTACTATTCGGTACAGCAAATATTAATTAACCTTTTAGGAATTCTCTCGCTACTAAGCCCAACAGTTTTACAGGCCCATTTTATTCGCCGGGATGAAATCACCTCAATTATATTACTCGGATACAGTTCACGCTATTCGGCACTGTTTAACCGTCTGAACTCTCCGGTTAATTCATCCTTCTTCGGTCCGAATATTCTACGCAATACTTTATTTTCACGCAAAACCTTAAGACGTTGCTCATCCCTTTATGTAAGCGGCCGCGTTTCCCAACCATAAAGAACTGTAGGTAAGACAATGGTTTTATAGATTCTAATTTTTAAGTTCCGGAACAAGAGGTGCGAGCTAATATTAAACACAAAAACAAAATTAAATAAATACATAATAAAATAATTTTAAAAATTGCAATAGTAACATGCTATGCCTAATATATATATTACTTTCCTGTTACATGTTTTTAAAAATGCCATATATTATGTACAATATAATAAAGTGATACCCAACAATGTATTTATATTAGAATAAGTCTAGACCTTCTATCATCTGATTCTAAGACTTCACACTGTGAAATAAAATATGTCATTAAACTTTACTTTTATTGTACTATTAATGAATAACCTGAAATTGAGTTGTTGTCTTCATTAATACTATATAATAATAAGTATAATATAAGGTACTGTATTGTTCAAGTATTTACTTCAGATTTATATAAACAAAAATGGACCAACAAAAAAAATTTTCTGTTTTTGGTGTGGAGCGACTTCTGCCCAAAAGTCCCCCACTTGTGGGTTTGTGTATAGTGCTAATCTTGGAGTGCTTCTCAGAATAACTTTAAATTATATTCCTTATACTTGGATATGATTTCCATTTATAATTTACCCAAATATGTACGCTTGGCAACCGGGGTATCTCTAATTTTTACCGCAACTAAAGCAGGAATTAAATTTCATCTTGCATTTCTGCAATATTTTAGCTGCAACGGGACAGACTATATTTACAGTGACTCAACCACAAATAAAACCTGTTTGAAGCAGTCACGCTTCTGATTGGCCATGTCATCTTGAACGTTTATTGGATTGTATTGAATTTGGTGGAAGCAAATTTCAGTTCCTGGTGCATCCACACCGAAGTTTGATTCAATGTGAATTATCTGGAATTCCAGTAGAAATAAAAGAACTATTTTTAGAAAATAGCTATTTTGCAAATAACTGTGTTTATCTAATTTCTAGTCAATACCACAATTACACGGATATCAATCTCAAGTTATCTTATAAATAAACTTAGCCTCATCCAGACTTCAGCTCATTTGATGTCTATACCAAAATCATTTTAAATACTAGGTGCGTTTATTATGGGTTTATTTGCTTGGTAGACAATTTTTGTTTTACCGTAGTTCCATTTCCCAGAACTTTTAATAAATTCTCACGAATATAGCCAGAGGAATGTGGTTGCACAATAAATCATCGATGGTCTAAAAAATCAAGATAAAACATGCTGACTACATCGACATATTGTTATTTTTTTACTTTGGTATGTCAAAATCATGAAATTTATTTATCAATTCAAAATAAAATTATATTTGAAGATAACGATATGGTTTTATACAATAATTCAATTTTTATTATTATTACTATTATGATTATATTTTATGATGAGAATGGCCAATACTAATTTATTATTTCATAAATTTCCGAATTTATTTATGTTCTTAGAGAGATATCTGATTAGTAAAACTTTAATTATAGTTATTATGATTTACCTTTCTATGGTAAGAATGTGGCAATAAAAGAATCCGACAGGACTCCCATTTAAAAATTTTATGGTTCAAATTCATGGAACTCTAGTTCGAATAAATGCTTATTTTATTTCATTTTTTTTTTTTTGGAAGTTTTTTTTGTTTAGGACGGATGTGCCTATCAAGTCGCCAGTGATATTCTTGTTAAGATTCCTAGCAAATAAGACAAGAGGGATAAATAATGTTTCCGGCCTGTACGCCACTATCTCTGCTGACACCGGAGCAGCGATAGGAGACTAGGAGGGAGTTGCAGCTCATTACAGTAATTACAGTCGTTTTGCTGTACTGAGGTCGGCATCCAATCCTAATCGAAACCTCCCGGTCCAGCGACCCTCATTACCACGTTTCGTACCTGTTGTAATTTGTTTTCTGATTGTATCCTCATCCGGGATAACAGGTATCGTCCGGATTATTTTAATTCGGAAATAATTGTTATTAATGAAATTCGGATACTAAAAAAATCCCCCATTTGATAAAAATGGGGTGGTTATTTATTTTTTTTCACTTTAGTGATATCACATTTATGAATAGTTGCTTAAATATATTACGAGATTAATAATTGATATTACAAATAATCAAACTATGAAACGTATAATTTTTGATACGATTATAATCACAAGCACCCAAAAAACAGAATCCATTCGGACCAGAATAAAATCATTATATCGTAAAAAAAGGTATGTAGAACAAGGAGGAGTATGATTGAGTCTTATTTGGAGGAGAAGGTATTAAAATGGGGATTATTTTGAAACAATTTTGGGTTGCATTAAAAATGTCATGCATTTTACAAAAGTGAATAAATATTATTTTTATGCTAGATCACATTTAATAAATTCATGTTTATAACGTTACATTTCACTTTTTTTCTAGATTAGGTTTATTTTCTAGTCACATATTTAAGTAATTGTTCATACCTCTGAAATCACTTATAACAAAATAGGTGTGAAAAAATTCACTGCTGTGTTAAAGAAGAAGGTAATTTAATTTTATAAAAATAATCAAAATTGCGTGAACTTTTGACACTGAACAGTACGTTGCGTAAACAGTATTTGACACCGTATTTCGTTGACATTTCGGGTTTTTTTTCTTCTCGAAAAAAAGTCTGCGGTAAAGGGAAATTCAAAGATACAGCTTAGTGTCAACTAATAATACTCTCCTTGGGACATTAGAATGATTGTTTAATTTTGCTTTTTAGTCCTGATTATTCCTGATGTGTGAGGCATAACATAAGCAATCAAATAAATAAAATAACCTAATGAAGTGTTTGTTGATGATAATTTTAAGTGAACACCAATTAACAATGAGAAAGTTAAACTTTTATTCTTTCTTAAACCATCGACAGTAATAAAATAAGTTAATACCAATCTGAAATTATTTTGATTTAAAATATACATTAGAAATGTAGAAGATAAAAAATTAATCATTTATGAATGCTTTAGTTATTGGCTGCAACAAAAGTCCTAAAGTCAAAAATATGCAATTTTGATTTTATACAAATTCATATTTGATAATTTGAACACACATTTTGTCAGACATTAAAAAATAATATCTTTTTCTCTGCTTTTAAGGCACGTTGAAATGAACGCCGGGACATATGTCTAATATTTTTAAATGCAAAATCACTTTCTGTAAACTCTATCTTTTACTCTAAACTAAAAACTTCCTCTAAAAAAAAAACGAATTCCTCTCGTATCCTGTCCTTACAATCCAAACTCCTTCGAAAAATAGTCAATGCCCCTTACTTCAATACTCCTCACAAACAAAATCATCCTAACTACCTTTGCTAGTACATATACTTGGCCAACATAATGTTTATAGGTCAATCACATAATTTATACATAAGTTAAGTTGGTATACTTAAAGCTTTGTCTTCTTTCCTATAGTATACCTTTACAATTCCCCATTTATCCCTCTTGAAAAAATCCGATACCTAGGACTCTGCCTCGACAAACTCACTCTACTACTAGGACTCACTTGGAATCCTCATACAAGACTGAAACGACAAGAAATTGTTCGAGGTTTTCGACCACTCCATTTACTACTTTACATTACGCACTTACTAGACAAATGCTCTAACCTTTCAATATATTACAAAATACTCATACACATGACTACAATAAGGCTTATTGGAACTTACGGAATTGAGCTTTGGGACCCCACTAAAAAAATACGAATTCCTCTCGTATCCATTCCTTACAATCCAAAATCCTTCGTAAAATCCTCAATGCTCCTTACCTCAATACTCCTCACAAACAATATCATCCTAACGACCTTAACGTAACCGTAATATCTATCCTTCCATAACAAACTTCAAAACCATCCGAACCCTCTCGTTTCAAACCTTGTTTCCTCCTCGATACCAGATAACCCTCTAACGCGTCTGAAAAGATGGCCTCGTGATCTACTTATGTAAATATATTATTAGAGTGCTACCAATGGGTAGTTTCTCAACAAGCATTTTCATGTGAGTATATTATCCCTGTGTACACATTTACTAAATGTAGTTTTATTTTAATTCAGGTGTAAATATCATGAATAAATAAAGAATAATAAAAAACAAGTTTGTGTATTGTTAACCTGTAGCATAACGTTGTTGAGCTACAAGTTTATTTCTTATTTTATTTATTTTATTAAGATCATTGAATATTAAATAATATTTGTATGCATGGCATCTGCTGTATCCTGTATCCGCTTTGCTTTCATAATTTGTCCTAAAGACAATTCGAATACCTATGCCTGAGGGAACTGTAATGGATTGGGACCTATCGAGCACTACGTTATCGGCTGTCCGACGTGATTAACTGGATTTAAAACAAAATAACTTCATCTCGGAGAAGAAGAAGAAGAAAGACCTGACAAGAATATGCTCAGCCTTAATAAAACAATTATGGGTCCCGGGCCCTTTGATCCCGCCGGCTTGGCTATCCGTCCCATCCCGGTGTTCGGTCAAAACACATTCCCTATCTGTCCCATCTCTTCCTCAGCCCCGTGGTCACAACCTAACCCTTCCCTCCGAGAGCAGCTTTCCTTTTGCTCTTGTAGGATTTGACACCCCCTGCTGGGTATGTAAGGGCTCACGATGGCGTGCTAGATGCGTCCCAACACAATCTGTTTCTAAACACATCTAAACTCACGTCAAGTTTTTTTTTTTTTTATTCCTGAGATTAAACTGAACAAAAAATGATAAAAAAGAGAAAGTAAACGACTGCGACATGCCCACAAGTCAAGAATTGAACCAGATAAGAACTTACTGTCATTAGAGCATTGCTCCTATATAAGGTACAATATAAATTGCTTCTCCGAACTTTTGAACATTGACTTATAAGTCTACAGATCTGGCTAAATCAGAGTAAGTATTTATATGCATTGGGAAATCGACATTTTAGCCGTTACACACAAGAAAGATTGTACATATTGTGTAGATTTAGATGAAGAAGTGGAGTTAACTTTTCTACAATGCTTCGTATGTAACTTGAAACCGGTTTTTTTCTTCTTTTTTTTTCTTATCCCCAGTTTCATACATGTTTCGTTCCTTACTTATGTTTAACATGTTCCTTATGCTGTATCTTAGATACATTTTAAGGTCTTGCTGAGCCTTTCTTAGTTCTGTTTACCTTATTTCTTGACTTTCAATCTGGGTGATGGGGCTCACCTCTATCTTGATAACTTTCTTAGGACTAACTTAAAATCTACCTTACATCTATATTTTGTCATCGCCTAGGAGCCGGTGGAAATGTTATCTCTTATTTTAATAATTAATTAAGAATGAATTACTGATGGTTGAGCGTATTATCAGCCTAATCATCTTCCTGCAACCGTTCGCCTTTTACTGTTGTACTTCCTCACATTGTACTGAACCCAAGACCCTTCATGGGTTGGTATAACCATAAATGCCAATCAATAAATCTGTCAATCATGACAATAGAATTCCGTATAGTTTCACGTAAATATTGTTTGCAGTTATTATAAATGATTTAAAAAAAGTAAAATAATAAATGAATCCTGTTATTTCTTGGTTTTTGTTGAGAATTTAAATAAAAAATTTAAAGTTAAAATCATAGTTATGAACCATTGTAGATTGTTTGAGTTTGTATTTCCTTTTATTTTTGTTGTTAATCTATTTCGGGTACACCATCCTCTTGGAACGGATCGTTGTATCTCCTTGAACTTAATCACCAAACTTGTAAAACCGGATAAAACATTCCAGTTTCCAAAGTTTTCGTATCGAACTGTATCCAATTTCCCCGAGGAGATAAAGCAGTAGCGACCCTGTCTCGGACTATTTTCAAACAAGTCGAGATTTGGTTGAATTTATGCAGTACAGGTACGAACTTTTTTGTAGCGCTGTGTTTAAAACTTTTTCTATCTCTATTCCTATCTATTTATGGTGCCTAAAGTCGGACTTGTTCATATAATATCACTGGATACACTCATTTTTAATTTTTTTTTTTTTTTTACTTGTCTATTAATTTCCTTAAACACTCCCGTTAGGGAACCTGCTAGTGAGGAAGTAGTGAGAAGCGGCTTGCACCACACGATGCTAGTGTTAATGCCCTGTGATCAAGCCCTTGGCCGTCTACCTTAGCTAACCCCCAATTACATACTAAGGATAGTTCAATTATTATTGTAATAGGGTGTTGAAAGACTTATAATTGTCGATAGTCTCCTGCAACTACGCACGGTAGGTAGGCTTTAAATACCGCTTCATTCTTCTAATTTTCAGCTCTAGCCAATACCGCAACGAAAATTGAAACGGGTGTTTTTTCGTATTTCGAATGTTTAGTCTGGTCCCTTAACCACCTCATCCCCTTTAATCAGCCACCTTAACCCTCCCCACCCAAAAAAAAAATAAATACATAAAAAACGAAAAAATGTGTTATCAAAATATTAGTTAGTTCAAGGAAGCTTTCAAATTTCTCTACCAAATTCTAAATTCTAATTCCTCTTATTCCTTATTCTATCTATCACATAGATAGATAAATAGATAGATAGATGGAAGCGTTTATTTGTTTATAAAGTACATAATATCATATTTTTTTTTACATATAATTAAACGATTTATCGACAATGAACTAATGTTCGTCTGTCGGGGTGTTCGCCTAGTTTATTCGTGGAGATATCTTATCTTTTAAGAAGTTTTAATACAAGAAGATCCCAATTGTAATATTATTTGCTTAATTAAAAAAAAAAATCTTAATTTTAACTAAAAATTCTTTCTAGATATAAAAATAGAAATATACCTACATGATAAACAAATATACATAAACTTAGATACCTCTTATTCTCAATTATATTCTCTCGCTAATTCACATCTATAATTAGTGGATGTTCTTAAATACAAATAAAGATTTCGGTAGTCTGGGCCGTTTAAAATTTTTATCGTTTTCATAAGATTTAGTTGATGCATACCTAAAAATGCTGTTCTGAACTCTTATAGTATTGGACATACCGATATAAAATGAAAGTTATCTTCCGGTGCATTCATATTGCACAAAGAACAATTTCTCCTTTTATCCTGCCTTGGCTGGTAATTTAGACTGAAGAGTTCCCCTCTCGCTTTAAAAATTAGCCGAATGAAATATAAATTGTAATCATTCTGCCGAAAATACCCACAATCGTATTCTAATTTGGTATACATTTTATGATATTCTTCTGATCTTGCCCTATTAATGCAATCATTCATTTTCTCTTGCTTTAGTTTTTTCAAGAAATATGTCTTTATGTGTTTTCAACTCCTTCAGCAGATCGTTTTTAGTGAAAGAAACGTCACATTTTGTTCCTATCCTTCTCATTGCCCTCATCCATGTTACATTTTTTTCGATAACTAATTTAGCTATGACATGCGGGAGTCGTTGGTGATCCATTTCCAACACTTTTATTATATACTTGATGTGCAATTTTAAATTATAAATACACAAATTATCAAATCCCGTTTCGAGATATAGCATGTAGTTAGGAGTATTATCTGGCAACAAATCATCTTCTTTAGAAAATACCTCTGAGTCTCTCACATAATAACAAACATTATTATCCTTATGAAAATACAAATTCCTATTTATACTATCTAGCAGACATTACTACACTCTTAAGCATAAATTCAAAATCATATTCGGTAAAGGTCAGACAGTTAAAACAGTTTAAATTGTCAACAATATACATAAATAAATACACATAAAACAATAAATACGCATTTTTTAAAAATATTAATATTAAATTATGTTTAAAAATTAAATTAAAAGATTACCCCTATACCTAAGAGGACAAACAAGAAAAATACCCGGCCAGATTACATGCCGATGTACAATATGGAGTTTTTGCCATAATATGCGGAGAACAATATTCAATATTACCCTACCAATTTCTTTAATTTGATATAATTGAGATAAAAAAATATAATTTTCTGATATCATATGCACTGGTTGGCTTAAATATGTCTATCCCATCAAGATTTTCCATACCCTGGTAAATTTACTAAACTACTATTCCTTATCCACTTATTCCTCTCCGTAAAAAAACTATCTCAAAAACGTGCTTTGACAACATGTTTCATCATTCCTAATAAATAATATAGTACAAAAAATCAATCGTTCAACAAATAACAAATTTGAGCTACAATGAGTTTTTAGGTCATGTCGGTCGGTGAGCGTACGAACAACCTGACATGATAGCAAAGCCCACATGATAGCAAAAAAGCACAGGAAGTTGTTACTTAGGTAAAAAAAATTACTATATAGTAAATGGCAGGACAGATATACCTGGAAGTGAAGATCGAAAGGCTAAGACCATTTCAACATGCAACCACAAATCAAAATTATTTTATTTACATATACATGCAACACAATAAGTCATAATAATGGACAAATGCTTATGGCCACAATACCTTACACATGTTACAATAAAGTGGTGTAATTGCTATTTTTTATGCTAAAGTCTAATTTGAACAGAAAGAAAAATCCAATAAAAACTTACATAACAAGTTATAAAAATGAATAAATGACATTAAAAACTATATACTGTCTTTAAGTGTATAAACAAGATAAAATTAAGCACACATTTTTTACATTTTATAAATTATTAGTCAATGATTGGCGTATGTGTTATGGCGTATGGAAATATGTGTTATGCAACAGTTTTTATTGTCTGACTTACGATTAAAATAACAAAATAGGAGAAACAAAATTTCTTATTTAATTTAAAATAAATGTTGCTCAACATTTGCTGATATCTACATTTCGATTCCATGGTTAATGGGCCATTGAAAGACTACGACAACTTATATTTGAATAGGTACTTTGAATTACTAATCAATTAAAGAATATT